ATCAGTTAAACACATAGGAATTTAGTTGAAAGGAAGAGCTCTAAACAAAACTAACTTTTCTAATTATTATTATTCGTCATTAGCCTTTATATTAGTTAACAGCTATTGCAAACTCATATGCCTGTAGAGGTCAGGTGTGTGATCTAAAAAGGGCCTGGTTAGGACTAAGAAGTCTCCACAGATAAAATAGAGCTGGCTAAAATCTATGGTTTATAAAAACGGTTTGTGAATTTACTAAAGGACCCTATAAATGCAAGAAGTATTGTACTTAAACCAAGCTAACTACTAACGTGTAAGTTTCAGCACATCTCATTTGGTGTCTCTAGGTATTCTTTTTTTTTTTTTTCAAAGTATAGTCCTATCTCTGACATTTCTTTTGCCTCATTTGATCATCTCCCTGTCCTTCCCTTCCCTTCCCATCCCCCTCTCCCTCTCCTCCAACAAAAATGAAATTTAAGAGGATAACCATGAAGTTCCACATTTTAAGTCTCAAAGAAATGGCAACATATGGACAGTCTGAGGGAGACTTAGCATGATGCCATTCTTATGAAAATAGTGGTTTTGGCTGCTTAAGCTCAATGTCTGACAAAGTATTATAGTGGCTAAAACTAATGCATCTTCAGACTGAATTATTGGAAGTACTAGATACAACTAAAGGAAGCAGTGATATTGCAGTACCTTCTGTAGGGGATAAGACTGTAAGAAAAATATTCTGTTCCCTTTGCAAACAGTTATGAAGTCATTACAAACAGGACTGACTGTGGATGTTGCCTTAGAACACGCCTCAAAGTATGGTCTGAACTGAGCCCAATCTGCAGTAACTGTTGAAAATGAAAAGGTTCAGAAGTGTTTATAGGAGTTTTACAGAGTTTTTTTTTTTTTAGGTCTATTGAAGTAATAAAGATAAAAATGAGTTTTTTTTTTGGGGGGGGGTCTGGTCATGGGGCCTGAACTCTCGGCCTGGGTGCTGTCCCTCAGCTCTTCAGCTCAAAGCTAGCACTCTACCACTTGAGCCACAGCACCACTTCTGGCTTTTTTCTTTTTGCTTATGTGGTGCTGAGGAATTGAACTTAGGGCCTCATGCATGCAAGGCAAGGGCTCTACCACTGAGCCACCTTCCCAGCCCGAATTTTGGTTTTGTTTATATTTTTTGTTTGGTACGCTTCTTTTATTTTAATAGGCAGTTTTTCAGAGCAATTTAAATCTGTGGAAAAGTTGAGTGGAACATGTGGAGAGCTCTTTCAGTTTTCTTTATTATGAGCATTAATATGGTACAATTGATGAGCCAATATTGATCCATTATTATTGACTAAATTCCATAATTTATATCAGACTTAGCTTTTTGTATTGTACATTTTTTTCCATTTCTTTTGTTAAGTATGTAATAAGTACTTAATGTTATAGTATCAAAGATGCTACGTCTTCTACCATAGTCACCCCTTAAACACTCCTACCAAATCCCAAACAACTATTTTTTTTTTTTACTAGTTTATGGTTTTTGCCTTTTCCAGAATATCATATAGTTGAAATCAGCCTTTTTAGAATGGCATCTTCCACTTAGAATCAACATTTAACATTTCATATTTCCCCATGTCTTTTTGTAGCTTGATAGTTTCATTTTGATTGCATACTCCATTGTATAGACTCACCAGAATTTAGTCATTTACTTATTAAAGAACATCTTGATTGCTTCTAAGCTTAAATAATTATGAGTAATGATGCAATTAGTATTGATGGGTAGTTTTTGTTGTTGTTGTTGTTGGAACATACTTCTCCTCTCATTTGGATAAATACCTAGCATGTAATTGTTGGATTGTTTAGTAAGCTGTATTTAGCTTTTTAAAAACTGCCAAGCTGTCTTTCATAGTGGTTGGTCTCACTTTCCATTCCTACCAGCAATGTGAGAGTCCTCATCAGCATTTAGTGTTGTCAGCTTTTGGATTTTAGCCATTCTAATAGGTATGCAGTGGTATGTCCTTGTCTTAATTTTCAGTTGACATATAATGTTGGGTATCTTTTTTTTTTCTTTTTTTTTTTTTTGAGTCCAGTCGTGGGGCCTGAACTCTGGGCCTGGGCACTGTCCCTCAGCTCTTCAGCTCAAGGTTAGCGCTCTACCACTTGAGCTACAGAGCCACTTCTGGCTTTTTTCTTTTTTTGCTTATGTGGTGCTGAGGAATTGAACTCAGGGCCTCAGACATGCAAGGCAAGCGCTCTACCACAGAGCCACCTTCCCAGCCCCAATGTTGGGTATCTTTATATATGAATATATAACAAAAATATATAACATATATAAATATATGTAACATTTTTCATCTCTTCTCTGGTGAGGATTTGTTCTGACCTTTTGCACTTTTTTCTTTCACTTTTTGTGGTTCTGGGGATTGAATTCAGGTCTTTACTGAGATACTCTACCACTTGAGCTATATGCCCAGAGCCAGGGCTCCCTGCCCTCTGTGGGTTTTTTGTTGTTTGTTTCTCACTGTGTAGTTCGGGCTGGCCTCATTCTGCTAGTGATCCTCCTGCCATAGCTTCTCTAGTGCTGGGATTATAGTTGTATAATACCATGCTTGGTTCTCTTGCTCATTTAAAAATTTTGTTCTTGGGCTGGGAAGGTGGCTCAGTGGTAGAGTGCTTGCCTTGCATGCCTGAGGCCCTGGGTTCGATTTCTCAGCACCACATAAGCAAAAAGAAAAAAGCCGGAAGTGGCGCTGTGGCCCAAGTGGTAGAGCGCTAGCCTTGAGCTGAAGAGCTAAGGGACAGCGCCCAGGCCCAGAGTTCAGGCCCCACGACCGGACCCAAAAAAAAAATTTTGTTCTTATTACTGTTAAATGCTAATTCTTTTTATATTTTGTGTACATTTTATTAGGTGTGTTTGCAGATATTTTCTCCTATTCTGAGCCTTGTCTTTTCATTCCCTTAACACTGTTTTTTGCAGAAGTTTGTTTTTTTTATTGTGAAAATACCGTACAGAGGGGTTACAATTACATGAGCAAGGTTATGAGTACATTTCTTATCAAGCATTGTTGCGCCTTCTTTGTTTCCCCTTATCATCCCTGCCCTCCCAGCTTCCCCCCCCCCCAAAGTTTTAAGGTTTGTTTTTCGACAATGTCTTGTACATCTCATTGTTGCAATGGGTCCACCTGGATCCCTATTTAAACAATTTTGAACTGAAGTTCTTGTGCTTGCTAGGCAAGCACTATACCACTTGAATCATGTCTCCAACTGACTTCTGCATTATCTTTTAGACACCTTTATAGTCCTCTGTTTGATTTGGGAAAAATTTAATACTATTAAACTTTAATATTATAAGTACTTTTAATATAAGTACTTTAATACTTAAGTATTACTTTAAAAAATACTTAATACTTAAAAAAATCTGGGTTCTTCATAGATTTCTCTGCATCCTCTGTAATGTGCTAATTTGGCATGTTGAACTAAAGTGTAGTCATTGGTCAGGGAAAATGGATACATATCTTCTAAATCAGGCTTAATGCTGGTTACCTGCTCTTTGCCAGGCAGTAAAGAGAGGGATACTGTAGTTAATACAGAGATGACTAACAGTGACCTCTTGTAAACAGAACACAGCGAAATAAATAAGGGAGATAAATAGGCTTAGGAGTCTGAACATGGCATTGACAGCTGAGTCATTCACCACATGTGTGGTCCTGGGAAAGTCACTGCTCATTGTTACCCATTGCTTTCTGTCTCACACCAGCTCTGCTGCTGCTGAACCAAGTTGTATCTTTAGAATATGCTGTTTCTTTTCATCTTGTCTATTAGTCTAAATCATAACCTCCTTCAGTTGCTTGTAGTTCTTGAAAGTTCTACTTTTTTTTTGTTTCCATTCTTCCTCTTCTATTAGCCAGCCAGTGATCTTTTAAAGAAATAAATTAGATCTTGTTGTTCTGCTTAAAAACCTTCCAAAGTCTTTTTATTGCTAAAACTTAGAGCAAAACCTAAATTCCTGATTATGTTTTGGAAGGGATAATCACATACCCTGCCTTTTGTCTTGTCTCTCAGAGAGAAGGGTTGGGTTGGTAAGTAGGGCCATACTACCTCTTAGTGAGCATTTGACATTGTTTTGTGAATTTTTTTTTCCTGGTCCTGGGGCTTGAACTCTGGGCCTAGGCTCAGTCCCTGAGTTTCTTTTGCCAAAGGCTAGCACTTAATCATTTGAGTCACAGTGCTACTTCCAGCTTTTTTCTGAGTAGTTTATTGAAGAGTCTCACATCCTGTCCTGCCCAGGCTTGCTTTGAACCACAATCCTCAGATATCAGCCTCCTGAGTAGCTAGGATTACAAACGTGAGCCACCAATGCCGGGCAATTTATCTCAGGACTGACACACAATGGGTTCTCAAGAAATTCTTACCCCTCGTAATCACCTTGATAATAAAATTAAAAAAAAATTCTTACGAGAACATTTTCTTCTTAGTTCTCAATTTGAAGTACACGATGGCCAAGGGCCTACTTTACAAGGCCATGAGACAGACATAGGTTTATAAAGCTCCTGGTGCATAATACATAGCTCTTAGTAAATGGTAGGTGTTGCTGAGCTTTCTTCACCCAAAGGCCACAATGAAGGCCACCTAGGACTTTCCGGGACACCTTTGGAAGAGTGAGAAAGAGATACAGCTCCACCCGGAGGCTTAATGTGACAATTTGCAATCTGCTTTGAGGATGTGGAGAAAAGATTCGTTTATTACCAGCTGTGGACAGAGGGCCTCTCTTCCTTGGCTCTGGGGCTCACCCAGGACTCTTGACGGCCCTGGAAGGGGCCTGATCCTGGTAAGAAATTACCTCTTGATGGAGGCAGGGACGGGGAGAGCTGTGGAGGCCTTCTTTCCCCTACGGGGAAAGGAGAAGCCCGGTCTCCTCCCACCCCCTTCCTTCTTTCCCTCCCTCCATCCCCGCCCCTTTGCTTCCCCAACCCAGCGCGCCTCGGCTGCCGCCCTGCGAGGACGCGAGCGTGCTGCGCCTGGGGAGCTGAGCGGCAGCGCTGCTGCGGAGCAGGTCGCCTCTGAATCCAGCCGGCCGAGCTCCTAGAGCCCTGGCTTTGTGCGAGCCTCTCTTCCAGGCGGGGAGAGGAGCGGCTCTGTCTCTGCGACCAACCCAATCATCCAAGATGCAGGGGCCAGCTCCCCGCGCCAGGTAATGCCGGCCCGGCCTGGAGCTCACCCAGCTGGCCTGCGTTGGGGGGTCTCTGCTGGCTTCCGGGAGCCGGGAAGCGCATTACATTCTACTTACCTTCAGGCCGAGGGCGGACCGTGGAACCCTCTGATGAGCCCACCCCGGGCTAGGCCTGCACTAAATCAGCTCTGGCTGAATTTTGGGGAACTGTTCCACCGCACGGGCCCCACTCCTTTTCGAGCATCCATCTGCTTGGTGGTCAGGCCATGCTTGCCTCTGTCTAGGCTTAGCTGCTGGCTTGCTGGAACCGTGGGGGCCCATCTCTTTCAAGAAGTGAGACTTGGGGGTTGATCCTGTCCGGGAAGGGGACCTATCCAAGTCCTCGGTTTCCTTATCTGTAATGCAGGGCTTGGTATTCTGTTTGAAATGGGCTTCCCTAGGCTGCCCGATGGCTTTTGGAAAGGTAAGCTAGATCCATGTCCAGGATGGTCTGCAGAGATGGTCCTCTCAAGACTGGAGGAAACAGTGGTGAATTTGGAAAACAGACTAGGTATCCTGTCTTCTAGCTCTCTTTTGTATGGCATCTTTCTGGCCAGATTAAAACCAAGTGATTTTAAGGCAACAGTGAATGCTGAGGCTTATGTTGAGTGTTGTAGGTATGCTGAGTGTTAAGAGATGGAGTTGGGAAGAAGCAGGTCGAAATATGCTAATATTTCTAGTCAGGAATGGACAGTTTTTTAATACTTAGAAAGCTGTGTTAGATTAGGCTGTCTTTTCTGAAGCACTCTTCTTACTCTGGTAAGTAAATGACAGACTTTGAGGCTGTGTATTGTCTTAATCACTATCATTCATTCCCTCTTTATTATCTGCCCCCAAGAAACTTATGTCAGGCCTGATACTACCCTACTTTGATTATTCCCTTCTCATCACTCTTCTTTCTCTCCTCCTTTTACTTTCTTCTTCTTTGTGGCCTTTTTTCCTGCTCTGTTCACTTATTGCCCCACCCCCACTTCTCTGTTAGTAGCTGCTGTCTGCAAGCATTCTTATTCTTACCTCTCCTCCTCCATAGCCAGTTTTTCTTTTTCTCTCCAGTCCTCTTCCTTTTGGATAAGCTATCTTTTCCTCTTAGATATTTTGGTTACTGTTGTCTTATTAATAGGTTACTGGTTTGTAGGGCCCTTTGCTGTTTTCCTAACTAACTCCCTTGCTTTTCACATGAATTCCACCTTCCTTAAGTTCCAGTCTCTCTTCATACTGCTCCCATGCCTTGACTTTGGCCTGCCAATAAGCAATCCTTCTTTCTGAATTTATTCTCCACTTTCTTCCGTGTGTGTGTGTGTGTGTGTGTGTGTGTGTGTGTTTGTGTGCACGTGTACAGGGAATGGAGCAGGTGGGCAGTGGAGAAGAAGCAAGATTAGAAGTCAGAGTCAGAGGCTTGAAGACTTGAGTTAGAGGAAAACAAAAATGTCAGTCAGGGTTGGATAGTGACTCAGATTCCTTTTAGTGAGATGAGGGACTGGGAGATGGCCAGGGAACCTCTGGCAGCTCTGAGACATTGCTGACCTGGAAGAAAGGAAGTTGACCCACAAACTTAGGGAGAAAATGAGAGGATAGCAGGGGTAAGAGGAGGGACAGGAGAAAGAAGAGGCCTGGAGGAAAAGACCTTGGTCTTTGAAGTGGGTGGCCTGGACACGATAGGATTATTTAGAGGGATGTGGTGAGTGTTCGGGAAAGATTGTAGGCTGGAAAGGGGATCCATGTAGATTTTCCCCTGAAGTCTGACTCTTTGAACTGGTTTATTCCTTAAAATTTTGCCCAATTTTTCTTGGGTAATATACCCAAAGTGGGAGAGCAATAGCAGAAACAGAGCTGAGAATAAGGTGGCAGTTTTATCAGCACTGTCTTACATGTGGAATGTATGTGTGATACAAAAAGCTTTCATATTGTACCCATCCGTTTTTAAACATTCTCTGAATCAGCTATTCTGTGTTACTATGCTGGGAATATAAAAATGTTTTCCAATACAGATCAAAGAGTGTGGAATCTCATGTGTCCACTGTTGTAGAGGAAAGCACAGGAGTTGCAATATTTCAGTGGAGGGGATTTTCTTTTTTTTTTGGTCCAGTCATGGGGCCTGAACTCGGCCTGTGCGCTGTCCCTCAGCTCTTCAGCTCAAGGCTAGCGCTCTACCACTTGAGCAACAGCGCCACTTCCGGCTTTTTTCTTTTTGTTTATGTGGTGCTGAGGAATCGAACCCAGGACCTCATGCATACAAGGGAAGCGCTCTACCATTGAGCCACCTTCCCAGCCCAAGTGGATTTTCAACTTGGCAAGTCTATGCAGATCTAGGATGCAAACTCAGGTCCTTTCTAATACTGGTAGGTGTTCACTTATATTACCTTCACTCTCAACTGGTTATATTCATAGAGTTATAAGAAATTTTCTAATGTATACTTTTCTGTCTATCTTTCTGCCAGTCTAGATATTACTGAGACAAAAAGAAAAAAAAAGCAATTTCATGAGGTGGATCATGTGCTATGGTCAAACACATACTTACTACCTTGGAAGGGAAACAGATTTTGTTCCCCTTAACTTCTGGCTCTAGGCCACTTGGGTGACTCAGTGCCCAAAACCTTCTGTGAGCTATTAGATGTCTCTCTCTTCTTCTGTTTTCTTAAGTCTACTTTCAGACAGGCCAGCAACCAGATGTGGTATTTTGCTTCTACTGTCTTCTGTAAAATAAGGATTTAACACTTCATAGGGCTAGTGAAGATCACATGGAGTAAAGAATGTGTGAAAATGATTTGTAGAGTGTTGTACAAATGTTATGGTTGTTCCCAAGGGCATCCCTAAACCTCAAAAATAAACAAAAAACCCATCTATAGCCTGAAAGAGTAAGAATGCCACTGGCTTATTTTATGAAATTCTTAGACTGAGTTCTGAGTTAAATTTCCAGTACTGCCAAACAAAAAATAACAACAACAACAACAACCCCCCTAGCCTCAGTTCTCAATAAATAAATGAAAAAAGAGGGTTAAATAGAGAAAATTTTTGAATCTGATAATTGAGCCTTATGTTGAAAATGAAGGGAAGGTCAAGAAGTTTACAGAGTGCTTTATTTAAGAGTGGTATTAGGGCTTCAAATCAAAGCCTTGGGTTCTTGCTTCGCTTTCAATCATGACTGGAGCTCTACCACTTGAGCCACCTCTCTATTTCTGGGTTTTTGGTGGTATATTGGAGTTACGAGTCTCATGGATTTGTCTGCTTGGGCTGGCTTTGAAGTACAATTCTTAGGTCTCATCCTTCCTTGATGCTAAGATTATAGATGTGAGCCACTAACTAACTAACTATATATTATTTTTAACGACACCTTGTGATAGCAAAAGAAAAAAGAAAAGGAAGGGAAGAGATTAAAAGAAGATTGAGTTTAGTTAAAATCTTGGTTCTACCATTTACTACTTAACTATTAGTCACTCTATTCCATCTTATAAAAATGGAAACTATATCCACTTTAGGCGGTTATTATAAAATAATATAATATATATAATAAAATAATTATAAAAAGAAAAGTAACTATAGTAAACACTTGTTTTTAATAACTATAGAAAAATAACTAGTATACAGTTGTTTTTTTTTTTTTTTTTTGTGCTGTCCCTCAGCTCTTCAGCTCAAGACTAGCGCTCTACCTCTTGAGCCACAGCACCACTTTGGACTTTTTTCTTTTTGCTTATGTGGTGCTGAGGAATCAAACCCAAGGCCTCATGCATATAAGGCAAGCGCTCTACCACTGAGCCACCTTCCCAGCCCCTACAGTTATTTTTAATAGCTGTATTTATTCTTACCTTGTGAAAATAAACTTGGAAGCCACCTCTTGCTTTACTTGTGGGCTGTGAAGGGGTCATCTTGTGTGTGTGTGTGTGTGTGTGTGTGTGTGTGAACAGAGCTTGAACTCTGGGTCTTGACTTGCTTGCTTTCTTGCTTATGGTGGCATTCTATCATTTGAACTATGCGTCCAAGTGTGTCTTTTTGCTAGTTGACTTTTCTGCCCACATGGCTTTAAACTGGGATTGTCCATATCTCAGCAGATATGGCTGCCTGGCTTAAAGACCATTTTAGGGACTTATGTATTGCATCTTTGTGCTTTGTCTTAATGTTCAACAGGGACACTTGTCATTGTTATATTGTTATTTGTCTTCCACTCCTATGAGTTTTTTGATGTCAGAGACAGGGTCTAGTAAATCTCAGTGCCTACTTTTGCCAAGCCTTGTTTAGTTGCTAGCTGTCTACTAATGGTAAATATAACAGACTTAGTTGCTATTATGTGAAACTTACTATTTATTGAAGGAGTTGTAGAATAAGTAAACAAATACAATTAAAATTTATGATAGATGTTGTGAGTACTCATTGCTCTGCCTAAAATAGTTTTCAAGGTACTAAGATTTGTCATCTCATTTCACTCAGGCCTTAATAAGTGTCTCATCTGCAGAAAAATTCTATCCTGTTGGGTGTGGTGGCTCACGCCTGTAGTCCTAGCTACTCAGGAGGCTGAGATCTGAGGATCACGGTTTAAAGCCAGCCTGGGCAGGAAAGTCCGTGAGACTCTTATCTCCATTAAACCACTAGAAAACTGGAAGTGGCGCTGTGGCTCAAGTGGTAGAGTGCTCTCCTTGAGCTGAAGAGCTCAGGGACAGTGCCCCAGCCCCACGACCCATTCAAAAAAAAAAAAAGCTCAAGGACAGTGCTCTGGCCCTAAGTCAAGCCCAGGACCAGCACAGAGAAAAAAGAAAAGAGAAATCCTGTCTAGATCTGCTACCTCTTTCATATTTACACATACATGTGTATGTGTATTGACATTGTGTATTTTTATTCTTTGTCTGCCTCTCCCCTCCCTTCTCCTGTCCTCTTTCTGGTACTGGGGCTAAAACTCTGGGCCCAGATGCTGTCTTCTTAGCCTTTTTTGCTCAAGGCTGGCATTGTACTGCTTGAGCTACAGCTATACCTTTAGTTTTTTGGAGGTTAAG